AGAGAAGACTTCAACCATCTTTTTGGCAGCAAAATCTGTGCAGAGATTCAAAGTATGACGAGGGATCTAATTAAGAGAGTTGTCAATGGTGCAAGTGATATTTTCTGGGAAATCCCAGTCCAAGTGGAGCTACAAAGGAAGAGCTCACCACCTGTAGATGGCAGAGTTCCAAGACTTGTGAGCTATGTAACTTACTACTGCAATCAACTTCTTGGTTGTAAATACAGGCCAGTCTTGACCCAGATCTTGGAAATACATCAGGGCTGGAAACAAGAGAAATATCAAGGAGAACTTCTCAACAGTCAAGTGTATTACACACTAAAAGAAATTGCCCTCAATTTGGATTCATGGTCAAAGGCCTATCACAATATTGCCCTGTCTTATCTTTTCATGACTAATAATCACAGCCATTTCTACAATCTGAGAGTCACACAACTGGGGAAAATGATGGGAGATTCTTGGATAACAGCTCACGAGAAGTACAGGGACTATTATGCTGCACTCTACTTGAGCGAGAGCTGGGGAAAGCTTGCAGCCTTCCTAAACCAACAGGAAACAGAAGCAGCTGATGTGGCCTCTGCAAGGGCAAGAAACATTGATGAGTCAGTGAAGAGGAGGCTGAAGGCATTCAATGATGCTTTTGATAAGATGTATGAGCAGCAGTCCAGTTGGGTCATCTCCGATGAGATCCTGAGATTGAATATGTGTCAACTTGTGGTGAAGACTCTTGTTCCTGCCTACAGGACATATCTGCAGGATTGTGCAGTTCTGCTTGAAGAGGATGCTGGTAATGGCAAATATCTCAGATACACTGACAAGCACATAATGACTATGCTCTGCTCCCTGTTTCAGCCAAAGCTAATGAAGCAGAGAAGCACCAAATCCACGCATTTTGTTGGTAAAATAAAAGGTCTTGTAACCAATCACTTTCATTTGACACTTGCAGCTCCATGAGATTTGTACAATGCAGTGTTCTCTTCACATTCTTAATCCAGGAAGAAAGGGCAAATAGAAAACCCACCAAACTGACCAATTTTCTTTGTTCCTCTTTATTCTCCTTGTGAATGCCTAATGTATTTACTTTTGGATGACAACCTCCTTAACTTCTATTTGATTCAAGTAGTGGAAAATACTCTCTTATAATGCTTTGAAGTGAAAATGCTGTATCATGCCCTTATCCATCATATGCAAAATCAAACTTTTGCTTAAATTACAGTTTTACCTTAAAATAATACTTATAGAAAAGGACTAATATCAATTTCATGCCTCTGTTGTTTGTAGTCTCTTCTGTGTAATCAGAAATGATGTCAATATGATAGTCCTTAACTCACTAGCAGAAGTTCAGCTGAAAAAGTATTGGCAACACAATTTAACTATTCCTCTTTTTTTATTACAATGTTTGAACATGAATAATAGACCAACCATTAAGCTGAAACAAACTCAACAAGAAAGCATTTCATTGACCTCAAGCTCAATAACGAGTGACAGAGTATAATACAAATATTATCATAACTGTCCCTTCTATTTTACCTGCTTCAATTGTCTTACCTTTTCAAACTCTGCAAGGGCATAATTCTTTTCCACTTCCCAAGCAAGTTGTGACATACTATTAAATGAGGACTTTGCACTCTTTTCATCTGTCACTTCCCGGGGAAAAGAAATCCGGACATCAAAAGTACCCTTAGGAGGAGAATAAATACGCAAGTCAAAGCCTAGCCGATCAACCCATATCATCTTTGCTTCTGATACCTGCCATGTAAATGAAATCCAATGGAAAGCATAAGGTGAACAGATTTAGAATTCCAGCTTAGCTTGGCAAATACTCAATAGCACAAGTAACATGAGTGTATTACTTCTGCTATGCAACATCGCATTTCAGGTTTTTTTTTTTGAAATGACATTTCAGGTAAAAGTTAACCTCTTATCATGATTGTCAAGAATAACGTCATTGTTTTCTTCTACAAGTACAAGAATTTAGCATTTTTAGAACCAATTAATTCCAAATTTAGGAAGGCAGCCAATCGCTTATCATGATTGTGGACTAATGTACTTAAGATGTTTGAGTGTTATTGGATTTTGCCACCAACTGTTGAATGATTCCTCTGTATGTTTATTGAAGGGGATGGAATCAAAAAAGCAGCTTGGAAATGGATTATCTTTGCATGTCTTCGGAGCATTTGGCTGGCGCATAATTTGATCATTTTTAACAAAAGAAATCGCTTGTATTACGAGCTGTGGGAGAGATCAACTTTCTTGGCCACCTTATGGGCTAAAGGGCACACTCATTTTCCTAACATCTCTATTACTGACCTCCACCATCAATGGGATATTTTCATACCTGATATGTAGCCTTTCTGCTGAAGTCTATTAAGGCTATTATTAACTGTTGATTTGCAGCCAAGCAAGACTGGAGTTTTTTGGCATTATGTTTAGATTGAGGGATAAGGAGAAAAAGGAAAGGAAAGGATATGATGCTCACCATCCTTTCCCTCATTTTGATAGAAAGAGAACTTTTTTTTTTGTGAGATAAAAGTGTGATATGCATTGATTAGAGCGCTAAGGGAGTACCAGCCATGGACAAAAGAAAAAATTTATAGATCAATCAATATATCTACAATGGAACCAAGATCCTCCAAAGTTGTGACCTAAGATAATAGAAAGATAACTATTAATAGGGAAAAAGGAGAACGCAAATTATTTAAAACTTTTGAGGAGAGATTCTATTTTATCCTTATTACTTAACTTGTTATTCTATGAATAAAGGATATGATTATTTCCTTAGAACAAATAATTTCCTTTTCTTTATAAAGTTAAATCAGATAATAAGTTGCAAAATCCTTTCCTCTTCTTTACTTTTATATTATTTTATCAAAAAAAAGAAACACTTAAGCTTTCACCTCCTTAAAA